GTTTCTCAGTCGTTGAATAGTGTCATTGACTCAGTTTTATAATACCACAGTTATTACCTAAATAACTTATCAATGTAAGTTCACACGCTTAGTTTCGAGTCATACATCTTGTGTAAATGCTAATGATGCTGTTCAGTTATTGAGACTAAAATTAATTAAATGAATTTCAAATCTTTTATGAGACAAATTGAAAGTTAAATACTTTAAACATTAACTTATTACATCATTAAACATTCAATCAATTACAAATTAACCCTAGAAGTCTAATTAGAAAGCAGTTAGCAATCGTATTTAGCCTTTGACCTATAGGTCTAATTCACAAGGCAGTGGAGCAACGTTAGGAGATACAGTCTCATGGTAGCTAGTGACCAACATTTGGCTCATGTGCTCGATTGGTTTGGAATCAGGATTTTCAAACTCCCCTAGGTGGACCCTTCATATCCACCAACATGGTTAATGAGTCGGACATTCGCTTTTCGTCCTCTCAATTTCGTAAACAACAGTAATGCCGCGAGAAGGCAGTGAGTAGGACTTCCCTAGCAGTGGTTGTATGCACGTAGTCACTTGAGAGCATTTTGAGATGGAGAGTTGACTCTCCCCACCCTCGGCGGTACCAGAGCATTTAGGGGCTATCCAATAATTGTGTATTTTCTGAATAATAGTAATCAGATATGAAATTTATCAAGTTATATGAAGTAGAATATTCGTTATTAGTTATAAATATTATACCTTTACAACTAATAAACAAGATCCTTAAAGTAAAGACAATTCATTTGAATCCTTTGCTTCTGTTTTTCATTTTCACTCATACCTTCTACACCATTAAGACTTTAGTTGGAAAATTACTAAGACCTAAACAGTTATTTCGTTCTAAATTGATAATATATATTTACAACCCAGAGTGGAATTGAAGTCTAATCTTGGAACTAATGTGTTAATTTTAGACTACTTTAGTTATACCCCATAAGTCGACATTAAAAACTTCTCTTCTTATAAAATGTTTCCTCTTTAAATCTCTTTTTTCCCCATTTCTAGTGTTTTTTTCTCCTTCATCTATCCAATATATTAACCAATCCGTATTAGATTAAAGGGATAGAAATCCGATTGTAATGTTTCATCTCTTCTACATTCATTTACTTATTCCTATCCTACAATTTTACAAAGTGATAAATTAACCAGACTAGTAAATTCATACTTTTACATAAAATAATACGTCTAGGACATGGATTAGAAAATTTACTGAGTATTAAATACGTGAATATTATTGTTCACTTCTTTTCCGTAACTGTCTCTACTTTGCAATGCATATCATCCGGTATACCTTTCTTTGTTAAAGTCTGAATATAAACGTATAAAAATAATAACTACATAAATAACATTGGAAAAGAATGTATAAGACGAGACAGTATGATTATAGGTTCCCCCTATTTGCCAAAAAATAACAGGTAATATGCTTAGGAATTGGTCCTTATAGTAAATATTTATTTGTTCTTTATCTCTTCTCAGATCTTAAGTTTGAAAATGATCTGTCTGCGATAATATGATGTAACAGCTATAGCTATTACATATATATTCTAATTTCTACGTTGCTTATGGTTGACACAGACTAATTGACTGAATGATTTTTTTAAATTTAGTCTATTTTCTAAATAATTAACTATCTTCAGAGGGGGTTTGTGGAGATTAAACGCTTGGCGCGAGACCGTTAGGTCCTGGGTTCGAATCTTGCTAGGTGCGGGATCGTGGATGCGCACTGCTGAGGAGTCCCATACTAGGACGAAACGACCGTCCAGTGCTTCCATGTTTTCCATGGTGGTCTAGCTTCAATTGACTCATGATTTCAATCTGTGAAATAAAATATCTGATAAATAAATTCATTTTGTATTGTTGAATCTTTCGATCAATGTTTAAGTCTGAAACTAATCAGTCTTTTATTGGCATATGTACATCTTGTACGGATTGCCTCGATATTGCCCTTAGTCACAAATATTACAAGCTTGGATGAATGGTAGCTAGCAGTGGAATCCAGGACATGTGTAAAAATTCTCAAAAGTAATTAAATGAAAACATAGAAATCTGTTTATCTTCCTAACAATGAAAGAAATCATCAAAATGAATACCAGACCGTTGTTTTCAAGTTCATCTCATTATATGTGAACTTTTCCTATGAATAAACTCGTATAAACGGAAATTAAGCTACAGTGTATAACAAAGTGGCTTGTAATGATTGACAATGTGACGTTCAGCTTTCGAAAAATTCGACTCTAGTCTGAAGTACTTTAGGTGTTGGCAATTATAAGGAGCAGTATATATTGTAAAAGAACAAGAACAAAAGGGAATCAACGGTCTAATAAGCAGATAAGATAATACACTTACAGTTAATAATGAAAGCAATCATCAACAATTGATAATAATACGGAAACAAGACTAAAACAATCAAATAACGGAGACTATAAGTTGATAATATGATGTATTAATGGCATTACAACATATTTGCTTCACATGATCGTTTTAAATACAACACAGTTCCAGTAAATTTTGCCAAGATATAATGGAGTGATTTTATTTTCAAAACTTCGTTGCTATGCTTTGTTTATTCATACCATTTGAAATGGTATTTAAAGACCGTAGATTTAAAAAGAAATAAATTAAGTTTCCATCAACTAACCAATGTTATGGTCAGATTTTCAACGTTAATATTCCTTTTATTAAATCTAGTAATTTCTACATTGGAAGATGAAACTATAAAAGACAGGAAGACGATTGAATCTTGAAATTTGGTTGAACAAATATTACACAATGTTCCCTTGAAGTTATTGAGGAGGTACTACCATACTTATTTGACACTTTATCAATTTCAACGTATTATTCAAAAGTACTCCATATGAAACAAATTGTTTAATTGAGTTGATTTGTTGTTTTATTGTAGAACAATGAAATGCAGTAGGAACGTCTACAAAGAGAAATTACCAAACGTTTATATAACACGTATACATGGGTAGCTTTAAATCATTCATTTATATCTTGAAGTGTGTTCTGTCTTCTTTCTTGGTCTACAAGTGTTCTGTCTACACCGTGCTTTTAATGTTTTGAAACATTTCTCTCCATTTGACAAATGATACAGATTCAACGCCGCGTTTCACTACATATTACTTACAACCAATCTTTTAAGTTGAGTCCACCACTCTATGATCAAATGCGAATTAGATCAAAAAATTATGTGGAAATCCGTTTGGAATATCTAAGTGAAGATAATAACCATTTTTCGTGGGTAAATAAACTTTCCGTCTAGAAAATGGACACGATAAGAAAAGGTGAATAAGTGCTTACATAATCTAAAGATCTATACTTGAGGCAAACAAACAGCTTGTCGTTACAGATTACAAAACTGAATCGAAAATCAGAGAATTTAGGGGATTGTCAATAATACACACGTAAAACTATTTCCAGCATTAGACTAAGCACAGGACCTTCAATTATGGATGTAGACTATATCATCCCCCAAGTTGTTGCATCATGTAGTACCATTCAATAATAATGGTGATAACTGTGTTTCACTCAACATAGTGGAACTAAACGGTCATCGCTTCGTCTTCTTTCTCTTCTTCTTCTTTTCCTCCTTTTTCTTCAGAGTGATCACTCTCAAATTTACACTAGTCAATTTATTTCTGGCTACAACTTGAACATAAAGATTCAGTATACTTCAAAACGAACACCGAATTTTTATTTAAATATTTTAAATAAATTCAACATTGAAAAAAATACATCTAACCTGAATCATACATAAATTTATTCATTTAAAATTATAAATGATGTGAATATCTATATTGAGTTGCATTATTAGCTAATCTTTGTATTGGTTATTATCATTATTGTTGTACCGTTATAATAAATGGCTTCGCTTTTTTTGCATATTCATTGTGAGTAGCATCAGAAGATATTTGAGATCCATCAGCTAAATGCGTATGGATTTTTATTGAGGCTTAAGTTCAGTAACTAAAGGTTCAAAACACCAACACGTTATCCATCAAGTGACTGATAACTAATGACCGGTCCAAATGATACGATGCTGATTCGTAAAAGTTTGTATTACTCCGTTGTCTATACATTTCAATAAAAGGGGGATTTGTTCATTCATGCATCTTGAGTTTATTGTCTCGATATAGTCTTTTTGTTATAGGTTATATCAAGTGACTTATTAGCCGCTAACGGACTCAGTAGGTAAGTGGATAACACTTCGTTATTTCGACCAATAGTTAGTGGGTTCCAGTCCCAGTGTAAACAACAGGATAAATATATTTTAGACTGATGAGTTTCACACAGAACAAATCATGCATCATGGATTGCACTGCTAGACAATATCCAAATTGACTAAACACTTATGGCAAAAATATTATTTGAAAAGTACGCCACCAAAGACTAGACAGAATAAAATGGTGGTTGGAGGTAGTCAACAGGAAACCCTGGACCTAGGTTTCGTGCTAATTGGCACTCGTCAGTGAGGTGTACCTTTAATCTCGAGGGAACTGACACTCTCTGACGGACTCAATCCAGTGTCGCCCAACCTTAAAGTCAGAGACGTTACCATTGAGCTATCAGCCGCAACTGACTTCCTATAGGACTGAGATGTATTTACAGTTGATTGGTCACTGAGGGGTGATTAATGTCATGTATGTCAGATCCTTTTTAATGCGAATCGAATCCTATCAACCAATCACCATCTAATCTCAATAGACAGTGCCCACAATGTCGAGTCATCTAGACTGGTGGCCACATTGCAACTTGGTCGATAGGATACAATCTGCACTAAAAAGCACCTGAAATACATAACATCAATCACTACCCAGTGATTAATCAATTGTAACTAACCAGAATAAAATACTATATATCAACAAATGGAATAATAGCAACTATTAGCAATAATTTAGTTTATTTGTTAAAATTAAGTTTAATTGTTATTCCATCCCGTTTATTCCTTTATTTTATTCCTTCTCTATATTATGATTGCTACTATTACTACTACTACTACTACTACTACTACTACTACTACTACTACTACTACTACTACTACTACTACTACTACTACTACTACTACTACTACTACTACTACTACTACTACTACTACTACTACTACTACTACTACTACTACTACTACTACTACTACTACTACTACTACTACTACTACTACTAATTCAGTCGTTATTCATTATACCACTACCCGAATATAAAGTAGAGAATTTCTTCAATCAACATTCACATTAGGTCTTACATTGATAATAATTGACTGACTGATCATTATTAAAAAAAATAAAATAATTAGTTTTAAAACATTTTTTTCATGTTCTGTTATCATAATAGATAAATGTTAAGATAATTATTAGATTGGTTATTTATACTTGACATTCTTAACGAATCATTATGCATATATATATATAACTAAAACAAAACACGAACACGTACACACACACACATTGTCTTTGTGTGTTTACTAGATGAACTTTTCTTTTCCTGAAAGAAAAAATAGGAAACTTTTTTTTCAAGGACATTCAGTTTTTTTAAAAAAAATTCAATTAAGTGATTGTGTATAAAGCGGTTTTTTTGTCTTTCATTTTAAAAAGAAATAAATTTTTTTTTTCTTCATGACATTCTATGTTCATAATAACAATATTAAGGATAATAAAATGTAAAGAATGTAGAACATTATAATTATTCATAATAGTAATAAACTAGAATTCATTTTGTTTTATACAAATATTATGAATGTCATTGTGTATTTCCCCCTCTCTCTCTCCCTCCCTCCCTCTCCTTCTTTCTTTCTCTTTCTCTCGCTCTCACTCTCTCTCTCGCCCTTGTTTCTTTTTTCGTTCTTCTAGAGTTTTTCTTCTCATCTCTATTTCAATTGACTTATCAATGATTAACAATCTAATCAACTGTCTACTATAGTTTACTTTTATTGAATATAAATGAAGTCTTATCGAATTCTCTTCTCAATGATTATTATTATTATTATCATTATTTTTCTTTTTGTTCCGATGTCGGTAGAAACAGCCATGACAATAACAACTATACATATAGGGTTTGTTTGTTCTATGTATAGAACGTGAAGAAAAAAGTCGTTTTTTTAAAAAAAATCGAATTTATGGGTTTATTAGTTAAAATTGATAATTTCAGTTTTCTTTTCTTTTCTTTTTAGTGTTACCCTTTCATATGATTATGATTATTACTCGTTAATCAAATGTATCTGTTTCAATATAGGATTGTAGATCTATTTCAATCAATTGTATAAAAAGGGGGGGAATGATTGAATGAAGGGAAGAAATCAGAATACCATCTGGTAAAGTATCCGGAAAATTAAAGATTACAATCATATTTTCACATCATTAAAAAAAAGAGAAATAATAAAAAAGGGAGGAGTTAACAAGGTTAACTGAATAGAAGAAATCATAAGTGGAATGAATGGGCTATGTAGTGAATGAATGGATGGGCTGGTCTAATGGAAATAATTCATATATACAGGGTATTACATGTTATATTGTATATGTATGAAAGTAATGAAAAGAATGATAATAGACAGATTATCTGATTATGAAATGAAATTCTAGAGATCAGTGGTTTAACCTTGACTAGGTCAGTTACTTAGTCTGTAATACTTTGGGCTGAAAAAAACCCGATGATCAATTATAAAGTTAGTTTGAGAGTGTTGTCAGTCTAACAATCATAGTGAGAAAAGAAAACAATCATGAAAATTACTGAATGGGAAAATTGTGTTTACCACATACTGGGATCGATTACATTAGTATTGACGTTTAACCTCTAGATGGATTGATTATCCAGTAAAAAAAAATTAGCTCTGATGACTGAATGTCGACAAAACGTCTAGTCCGTATTGTTCGATACTATCCTTATTTTCACTCCAGAAAAAAAAGGCTTTTTGTAACTATGATAATTTGTTAGTAACTTTCGGTGAATTCGATGTAAATAATAATAATCGATTCATGTTTTTACCATCATAGAATGAATATTCATAATTTTAAATTTTTTTATTAAGATTCGATTCTTCAAGATTCCATCATGAAATTTAATTCTTTAAATCTAGTCAGCAGTAATTGGTTCCTATCGTTGCAATTTTAAATATTTTCATAAAGGCTATTTCAGTGACCATCACATTAGTGATGTATTCAATATCGAACTGTTGTTGTACAATGTATCAGAATGATTCATTTTTCTGGATAATCATTATTTCCAAAAGATACTTTTTTAGATTTTTGAATGCTTCCAGTATTTTACTGTACAAATGTTGTATGAAATTATTATTTGGAAATGGTTTTAATTAACTAATTCTATATGTTTACAACATAATTTACTCAAGTGCTTTACAAAGAGTTTATAATCAAGATATGTTAAATATTGTGTAAACAGATGGTTGTAGGTAGTTGACAGGTAACGTTACTGGCCGTGAAGCTGGATGACGCGAGATAGAATGTGCCAGTTTCCTTAAGATTATAGACACACCAAGATTCCCTTTCAACTACCTCTAACCACCACTCTACATCTTGACATAGTGCATACAATTCGATCAGTGGTTATATTGCAATTTCTTTATTACCACTAATCTATTTTCAGTTGCTTCATTACACAATCATCTAATGTTTGATAAGTCTATGAGCTCTAATCATTATTTCAGTGTTCTGGAACTTTCCCTCTTAAACCTTATTTATCGGAAACAATTTTTTTTATGACATTAACACTATCGGAATCTTAGCTACATCATTATACACATATTCATTTTTAATCACCCTCGTATGTATAAGTGTGTCAACATCTGTAATAACGTCGATTTTAAAATATTATAGGTTGTAACCAGCTGATGAGAAACTAAAAAACTAAAATGAATTCATATTATTCTGCACCAATCTTCGTTCTTGCTCTCTTTAAAATAGATGAACGGTTGTGCAGTCATTCATGGATCGATGGAAGTTAGACACTAACATCGTTGGACGCTGCCTCAGTGGTCTGGAGGTTAAGCGTTCGCGCGCGAGGCCAAAATCCCTGGGTTTGAATCACGCGTGTGGGATCGTAGATGCGCACTGTTGACGAGTCACATACTGGACGAGACGACCCTCCAGTGCCTCCACGTATCCCATGGTTGTCTAGCTTACATCGTTTCATGAATTCAACTATGAAAAAATTACTACACTTTCCACAAATCTCATTCTGATAGAAATAGATTAAACAGCAATTATTACTAGTCAGCTTACAGAATACTTTCAGTGTCCTAACATAATTTGATCAGTTAATTTGTAATTATATAAATATATATTAATATAGTTTATTGAAATAGTTAATTAAAAATATGAGGAGTTGATCGACAGTTAAATTAATACATCTGTCACAGCTGAACTCAGATATAATAGTAATAATAATAATAATAATAATAATAATAATAATAATAATGAGTATTAGGAACAATAAAAGAAATATATTGAGTTATTCAGCAAAATAAAAACAATCCATTGAGGAGAATATTCTTTTGAATGAATTGATCTCCTAAAGTTGTACAATAGTATTTACAGTTATTCTGTACACATGACAGTCCATCATAAAATTGTTTACATCACTAAATAAAGCTAGTAACATTTGATCAAAAATATTTCAAGTGTTGAATTAGAGTTACGTAATGGTTAGAAACTAGTAAAAATAGGAATAGTATAAAGAACACAGAGACTATGCTTGAAATAATTAATAGTTAAAACTTATGCTATGAATAAATTTCCAACACAGTTTCCTTTGCAGTTAGAACGTTTGGTGTTATGGATAACTTTTGTATAGAGATTTTCAATGAGGTAGATTACCAGAATTGATTGGATGTTTAGCAATGGAATTATTGGCTGGTTTGCATTCGTTTTTGAATGAACATACTAGGTAGTTTTCGGATATGCATGTTATCATCTGTTATCATTTCTAATCAGATTGTTATTAATTGATCTCATTAGTTCTAATGAAAATAACTGACCAAATATATATTGTTTAATATCAGCTCCATTACTGATCGATACTACTACAACAACAACGACAACAACAACAACAACTACTACTACTACTACTACAAGTCACATTCTTTTCCTTCACTCCTATATTGTGCCTAAATTTATTTTGAATTAGAACTTAGTGGGGACATTGTACCATGAACACTGATACTTTTTTTAACGGAATATCAGAACCGTTTTTAAAAAAAATAAAATACAACCTAAAATAAGGAAATAGCTGACAATAATGACAGTAACAATAATCTTAAAAATACATATGCCTTATTTATTTAATTCTTCTTTATAAAACAATCTACAAACAGAAGGAGAATGATGACATTATAAAATCCGATTATTTAAAATCATACATCTATATAAATCTTATCACAGTCTAGTATAATGATCTCCTCCCTTCCTATCTCAGAATCTTCTCCCTATCTCTCTCTCTCACACACTCACTACGCACACACATATACGCACATATTCATAAAATCTTTACTGATCACTACAATCCCTCCTTTCATAATACATCAATTCGAATTAAATAAACTACGTAACATATTGAATAAGCTAACAGTTAACTTGTGTACACCTTGAGGCAATGACAGAAGGTTAAAAAAAATTTTTGAGATAATTTTCTTGTTTTCAAAGTAAGATTGTATAATCAAAAATAAATACAGTTTTTTTATAAAAAAAAACTGGGGGGGGGAGGAGAAGGGGAATTGAAAAGTTTTCCTTTTCAATAAATAAATTAGGTAGAAGGTTGTAGTAGTAGTCGTATATGTTTCGAAACAAAATAATCATAATCATAATAATCATTTCCCTTCAATTATTATTTTAAACATTTATGCTCATGGGAGTGTTTTAAAATGTTTGAAAGTATTAGACTTCATAAAAACATCATTCTCCTGTTATATTTTCTTTTAAAAAGAAAACGTTACATACATACCTACTTCCGTGTTCACTTACTCATTTACTTATTTACATACTACCAGTTGTTGTAAAATTCTCTTATCAGATGTTACTTCTTTGGGGTTTTTTTTTTCCGTCTCAATGTTTACTAATGGATTATTATTGCTAATAATACTACTATTATGATTATTATAATTACTACTAGTAGTAGAATTATTATTATTATTATTAGTAGTAGTAGTAAAATGAATCTTAGGACATATGACAGAAATCAAGCCTTATAATACAAT